TAAGAATAAAATTCAACTATAAAATTGCGTCGTTCTTCAGAAGTTTTAAATTCAAATCGTTAAATCTTTCGTAGAAAGTCTTGGCCTTTCATTTAAAATTTGCATCGTAAAAAAATGATTTTCCCTCGAACTGAAAAACTGTTGCGCAGGGGAAAGAAACCGCTAATGTGAGGAAACGTTCATTCATCGTCGGTGCGTCATCCGTCCCTTGTCGTTAAAGTTCACCCATGGTAGAGCCTTCCGTCGTTCACGTGAGCAGAACCCGTTTGGCATGTCCAAGATCGTGGTACGAATACGTCCAATGCGCCATTCTAAAACATCAATAAAAACAAAACCGACAATACAGCAAGAAAGTAAAATGGCATTACGTAGACTGGAGGACAGTTCTGCCGGGCGTACCATTCGCAGCTATAGAAGCACATCAGCATACCAGTGCCAAAAAGTATGCAACACCACAATAGAACATTCCAGAAGCGTTCTTTCGTCGATCGCAGAACCGACATCAAGCCGACTACAAAATATACATTTTGACGAAAAGCCATCAGAGCCAGTCTTTAGAACAACTGTCCCTTCTCAAACGGTTTAATGATTAAATGCTAACTCAAAGAAAGATACAGCGCCAGTCGATATGAGGTAATGACAGACCACGGCTGTTCCCCGTCTTTAGTAAATAATTCTATACAAAGCTCAACTCAGTGACTGCACAGCTTGGAATAAGAAACAGTGGGAGCCCCGAATCGTATTCTCGTGCAAAGTAGCCATAACCATGTCCCTGCTGGCCTCTATGCTGATGAAGGCTTGCCAGGAATGTCAAAACGGTCAGCAAGAAAAAAAGTAACAATACAAATAAAATGACTGAACTTCTTCTACAACTTCTACATGAATACAAAATCAGCCACAGCTGCCTATTTGGACATCCTGTCAGAATGTCACGACTTAAATGTCATTCTAAAAAAATGGAAGCAGTCGCTCCTACTCAACCATGAAAAAACACGTTAAATTCTTCTTTTCAAGCCGACCATGATTAAATTGATTTGTATGTACATTAAAAACCACCATTCATACATAATGAAGTTAAGCACTTCTAAACTTTAAGACATCTCATAAATATCAACGACTGTTGTTGTTATTGTATTCAGTACTTACACAATGTGCAGGGGTATATAGAATATTAACCACGAATGTGTACAGCAATACTACATAGCAAGTATATTGGTGTGTAATGGGCTGTAAAACATGGACCACTGACTGCAAGGTACATGGTACGCAAAATAACATAAAATTAGCAGTACAGTATAAGGTACAGTATTGACAACACTGTCTCAAACACAGCACTGAAGTGTATTGCAATACCATGCGATTATGTAGTCATCATTTGTTAAATATTATTCTGCTATGCCATTCTCTGCTCGATATTATTTTACTGCACTATTCTGTGCAATCAGTACTATAGATTGCATTGTACCAGTAGAGTAAAATTTAAGAATTGTAATTTAGACAGTTTAGTAACATAAGACAATAACGTTCTCAATTACTGTGATACACTAATTAATTGGTGCCACTGACTTAATCATTTTTGAATAGTAGATAACTTTCAACATCAGCTATGGATAGGCAGTTTAGTACTTTACATAATGGTACAATAGAATAAGAGCAGAGAACTGGTTACATAAAATACCAGAGCAAAACAATTTAAAACCGAGACACTGGATAGCTGAGCATAATCCCGTAAGATACGGCTTCGCGCAACTATTAATCAGTGCAGTACTCGGTTCAATATTATTCCACTACACTTCTGTGTAGTCAACGCTATTGACCATATTATGACAGTATAGTAAAATTTGCAGAACAGAGTACTGGCTAAATAGATTATCAGTATATACAGTAGTATATAACACTGCTATCTTATCATACTACGTACGCAACACCCTGTTCTGTTGACAGAATTCTAAGACAGTGAGGCCCAGAGTGCTGTACTTCACAGATCGCAGAAAAAATAGTATGCCGCGAGTACTCCGGATTGCGCTATCATGATGCATCAGAGCCGCGTGAAAAAGTATCTCAGAACACTATAGCAGTATAATACTGCAATCTACTACAATACCATCCTGCTAAACTATTCAGTCAGCTTTCAGGCTACATTATAAGAGTGTAGTAAAACAGTACAAAACAGAATAATTGCTTCATGGTACACTACCAGAGTAATGAACGATTCTACTCTACTGTTCCAGTAAAAATTCAACATGGGTATTTTACAATACCACGCTAATACATCAATAAATCAAAAATCATAAATCAACATAATAAATCAAATTTTTAGTATTCTTTCGTCCATTTCAACACAAGCATACAAGGGAGGCTGTGCAGAGCAAATCTGTATAAAAATAACTATGAAATACCTTATAGAGTACAGCAGAACAGCAAATAATCACACTAATATAAAAGAGGCTCGTACACGGGAGGCTGTTAGAATAAATTCACAAATGGCAGATTTTGAAAGTATATTATTGGCCTTTGATA